AGTATATACATAATATAATTTAATTTATAAAATATTATATACATTATTTAATTCTTCATATGTATATTTTGTATGTATACAAATTAATATTTTATAAAAATGTTATATAATCATTTTATAACAATATATGTAAACCTATGCGATGTGAGTTCTTAAATATTATAAATAATAAATAACTCATATCAGTATACAGCACTTTACAAGAAAAAATTTATTATAAAATTAAATACAATATAATATGTTCATATACATACAAATATATACATAATAATAATTTTGGAATGATATATAGATGCACATAAAAAAATGTTATGTTTATATATACATAAAATATAAGATACTTAAAGATTTATATAGTAATATTTATTTTGTTCTAAAATGAAGTCATGCAACATTCACGTAATAAATTCTACAAAGTTAATTTAGAAAAATATAATATTGTTATAAAAACAATAATAATATGAACTGTAAGATATCAATATATTATTATGGGCATATGTGTATAAGTAAGTTATGTACTGCTCTATAAAAATAATAAACAGGAATTCTGACATGACGCACAGATTTTATAAAAACGTACATAACTTACATATACTCGTATCCTTGCAGTTTTTTTATTATTATTATTGTTTTTTTTTTTTGTTAAACAACAAACTAAAACTACTTAAAAATTTACTACTCGTATTTTACATTAAACTACTCCTACTAAGTACATATTACACATACTCTAAAATAAAAATAAAAAAAAAAAAAAATTTGAAAAAAAATTAAAATGTAGAGAAAATAAAAAAATAAACAAAAACAACTTGCAATTTTAAAACAATAACAACAAAAAAAATTTTATAAAAATCAAAAATTTATGCAATAAAAAATAGAAATTTAAAACTAATAAAAGAGAAGATAAAAATAATAATAAAAAAAAAATATTGAAGTATGTTATAGCCGCATTGTACACAATTAAACACACAAAGCTATAATATTGCTTATAAGTATATAAGTAAGGCGCGCGCTCTTCCAATTCACAAAAATAAAAAAGAAACAAAAGATAAAAAAAAAAACTTTACATGTAAACATAAAGGCAAACACCAACATAAATAAAATAAATTAACTGTTCCTTATAAATATTCTGCAAAAAAAAAAAAGAAACATATTCAAAACTGGTTATAACTGGCTTACAAAATAAGGCGAATAAGAACAAAGAAGAAGAAAAGAAAAAATAATAATAGCAATTCTTGCATTATTGGCAACACAGACAATACAAAGGAAACGGCAAAAAACATTATTATAGGCTTTAGAATTTAACAGCTAACACAAAGCGAAAACAAAGGGAGAAAAATGAAAAAAAACAAAAAATAATAAAATGAAAGAAGAAAGAAAATTTGATAAAAATGCCATACAAAAATTCTTGAATTTAGAATTAAAAATTATAAAATAAAAATAGAGAGAGAAAAAATATTCACAAACATCAATTGTATGTTTGTTTGTATTTAATTTAAAAATAACGTTATTTCTTAATAATTTTTAAATTTTTTGTGTTTTCTTTTCTTTTATTTTTCATTTAATTTTTGTGCATAACAAAGTGCATTGTGCTTTTTTCATAATGCAAAATTTTTAAATGAACAAAAAAAAACATGAACTTTTATAGCTACTATGAAAATTGATTTTTTGATATATAAATTATGTATGTACACATGTATGTATGTATGTATGTATGTGAATGAGTTTTGTATGATTATTTTATGATAATATTATTTTTTCACTTTATTTTCTATATTTTTTTTGTTGCGGTTCCTGTTATATTTTTTTGTTATTCTTCTTGTTATTTTTCTATTTTTTTTTTTTTTGTTGTCATGTAGTTATTCTTGTTGTACTCGGCTATAAAATATGTGAGGGTGTGTCGATTCTGTTATTTTATTGTTACATTTTTAATACCTAAATGTATGTATTTTTTTTTTCATTTTATTGTTTTTTATTACATACTGTTATTATTGCATACGATGAAGGGTCCTTAATCAAACAATAGTTAAAGGTGCTTTAAATACACACTTTTTATTTTTGTTTTTATATCTTATATGAGGCTCTATATGTATGTATTGAAAAGAGTATGTGGAAAATAAAAAAGGAAAAATTTCATATTAAAAATAAAATAATAGTCTGTTGTGTTATAATAATTCCCTGTTATTTTGAAAAACAAAAAAAAAAATACTTGAAAAATAGTTTAGTTATAAAAATGTTTTTATAAAAAACAGAAAAATTATTGTTATATACGCCTTACGATCTATATAATATGTATGTGTGTCATAATCATGTGTAAGTTTTCATCTGTTTATTATTCTTTTCTTAAAGCAAATGTGACAGGGAAGAAGTTTACTATTAATTTCTGAAATATTTTGCAGTATAGGTATACAATTAATTTTATATATCATAATAAAAGTGTTATGAAGTTTTCAGATATGGGATTTCAAAATTAATGAATAAAATCAATGCTACACTTTGTCTATTGTTTTTGAACAGCAGGCTGAATAATTGAATATTTTATCCAATTTTCTTGAGCGGGCACTTTTGTTAATTTGACAAAAATTTATTTAATTTTTTCTAAAAACCGTATTCGTATAGCAATAGAGAAGATTATAACATTAAGGTTTTAACATATCTGAATAATAAAGAATACTAAACCGTCCAAATAGCATTGTTAGAATTACAACACCAATAATGTCAAATTTGAATTTATTAAATAATATTATCAAGACTATTTGAAATATCAAGCAATAAGTTCTAACTTTTTTTTATCATTTTTATTAGCGCTCACCTCTGCTTGAAATTAAAAAAAAAAACTTTTTAAGTTTTATATACTGTAGCCACAATAACCTCTCTATATAACATAAAAATTTACAGGAAAATAGAAATTATATGAAACGCGAATATAAGTATAATAGAATTTAAGTGCCCGTTTACAATTTGTTGCCTGCTCTTATAGAATTTTATATTGTTATACGAGTGTACGAGTACTTTTATAATACATGTATGTGGATGTTTTTGTCTAAGTTATACTGCTATTTTTTTTTACTGCACTTGTCATTGTTTTTTTTTTATTTGAATTATCCTTGTTTAATAATGGAAATGAATACCTTAGAAATAAGGAAATACTTATTTATTATCCTTTTAATCGAAAAATTTTATGAAAACTGTTTCTTGTTTTTTTTTTGCAATAAAAATACTGTTATACACTGTTACATTCAAATCTACTTGTATATACATATGTATAAATTAGTTTATTCAATTTTATTACATTTGTTTCGATAATTTTTGTGTTCTAGAGTAGAATTGAATTTATATTGGTTAAGGAATTTCAAGTATTATGCAAATTAATTTCTACTTCATTGATTGTATATTTAATACGAATATAAAATATTGGTGTTCTATATGGATACGTAGAATAAGTTAGTTTTAAATAATATTAAAATTTCAAGTCTATTTTTATTAAAATAATTTATATTATGAAATAAAATCAATATTACTAAAGTATTTTGTTTAAAATCCTGTTTTTCATTTATACGAACGAAATCTAGATTCGAATACATTTTGCATATACTTAGTTGTGGGGTGCTAATGTATTATTATCTAGTAAATCTTAGTCACACTAAGGTTTACTAGATAACCTTTATATTCTGTACAATATTAATAAGTACAGAATATAAATTATTTAACTGAATCATAATTACATTTGAAATTAAAATATTTAAGAAGGTACCTATTATGAAAATATTATATCATTGGTAGCTTGTAGGCAAACCAACTTTTTGATGAAAACTCTTAATAAACACAGGTAGGTTAGACTAGGTTAAGTTGCACGATCCACTGGAATATTTAGTCGACCTAAGCCCGTTGTGCTCCTGCCGGATTTCTCCCTTCTAGAACCAGCCTGAGTTCCTCAGAAACCGATCAAGGCTTTTGATATTTATATTTGCTAACTTGCTGAAAAAGGCGAACCCAAGAAATTTTTGCGTGGAACCCGTAAACGCCGAACACGAGCATAGCAGGTGAGTCGCCATCTCCTCCTTCTCGTCACAGCAGCTCCAACAGAATTAGTTCGCTGGGTGGCCCATCCACCCGGCATGATCGCCAATCAAACAATTAATCCCTATCACCGCGCTATTGTCCTCTCGCCGGAGACATATTAGATCTCTTTTGCGACGCAAGTCTGTAAACTAAGGTGTGTTGCATTGATTTTCTTTCGAAAATAAATTTTTATGAAAGTTCATACTAAAATAGCTAAATTAAAATTTCGATAGAAGTTTGTTTTAACTTACGTTTATTAAAAACAATTCGGCCTATAATCTTTTGATTTGATTTATTTATTTTTAATTTAAATATTTTTTTTAAACAAAATTGCTATTATAATCGACAACTTAAAAATTTATTGAGAAATGTTAAAAATGTTAAAAATAATTAAGAAAAAAACATTTTGCATTTTTCTAAATATTTTAAAAATTATATAATGTTAGGAGTCAATAAATTTAGTTAGAGTAATTTTAAATAAGTTTGGTTCAAAGATTTGCAGTTTAACAAATAATAACACAGGGAATGATTCGAGTGTTTCGAATGCTGATATTATAAAAATATCTTCAATTTTTGTTCTTTTATAAAAATTTTATAATTTTATAAAAATTTCATTTTAGAGTAGTTGAAAAGGACCCTTCATTTTTGAATTGTTACTCGTATTGTTAAAAAATACGAGAAATTTTATTTATTGTGTTAAAATTAAAACGAAAAAAAATCCTATTTAAATTTCCATTTTTTTTTTCTGTATAATTTTTTGTTTTATATAACATTTCTGTATAAAGTGTTCATAAAATATAATAATATTATTATTATGTAACGTGCTTGTTGTATATAATGTATGTATGTATATTTTATGTATATTTTCTTTTATATTATCAAATATACCTACTTAATAACATTGTAATATTATGATGAAATAATTAATACAGAATCCTTACCCCTTTCATCCATGTTCATATTTTTAAAATCCCAATTATGACGATGATGATGATGATGATTGTGTTGTTGATGATGATATTGGTCTCCACCAATTGTTGTTGGCCTATTTTGTTGGCCATCAATATTATTTATTATCTTACCGATAGTATTTGATACGGTTTTTCCCCTATGATGATAGTTGATGCTACTAATGCTATTACTAAATTTTTTTTTTTTGTTTTTGTTCAAAATTTTGTTTGATGTGCGTATAAAAATTTTAATTTATGGTGCATTTTTTAATATACAACAATATTATGTTTCGGTGGTCAACACAAATACATGTACAATAATAAATTTTATTTTTATATTTATTTTAATTGTTTTCATATAACATTGTGCAAGTATAAAATTACAATACGGTGAAATATTTTGAATTGTGAATAAAAAAAAGAGATAAGAGAGAATAATAATAGTGCCATTATTTATATTTGGTGATTTAAAAATAATTTTTTTTTTTTAGAAAAATTTATTGTGCATTTTATTAAAATAATATTAAAAAAATTATTGCAATATATAAGAGTATAAAAGATATTATTAATTTAGAATAAACAAAATAACAAAGAAATTAATTAAAAAAAAAATAAAAATAATTTTATGTTTTACATTATTAGATTGCAGCATGAAATTTTGTAGAGAACATTGACTTAAAGAAGGGTATTGACTTGAAGGGGGAGCCGGGTGTCAAAACTTTAAAACATTGCCCATTGCTATTTATAATATTCTGGTTACGAAATCTGAGAATATTTTAATAAAAATTTGTTTACATCATTTGTATATGTGATGCCGGAATAACACGTAATTATTCTTTAAACTAACTCATATAATATAGGTAGCTCGTTACAGCCCAAAAATTTGTTTTATGTTGTTGAAGAAGACATAATTTCCATATTTTTTTACGGAAATTTTTTTAATAATTTAAAGTCTGAAATAGAATATATCAATAATTTAAATTAAAAATCGAACTCCAAAGAATTTTACGATTGGGTGTACTATTTAAAAAATAATGTTTCAATTTAAAATATCAATTTTATAACGCCCGAATTCAACACAATTATATTTATTTGTTCATTTTATTCTACAACACACTACAATTGTATTAACAGAGGACTTTTAGCCGTTCGACTTGTGGGTCAATAATTTCTGTTATAGAACAACAATTGTAATAAATGGAATTTCGAATTGTTAAAAATCAAAAATGAAGGTACTGGTTGTATTTTATAGCCAAACTTAATGAAATTTCTATAATTTTTGAAATACTTTAAAGAATTTTTGAAAAGTACATTATACCAAATGAATTAAAAAAGCTCAATAGGAAAAAATAAATTTAAAATTAAGTAATATTAAATTAATATTAAAAAATATATAGGTATAAATATTTCATATGAACATACATATATACATAATAAATAAAGAAAATATTAGAAAAAAATTTAAATATCACAAAAAAACAAACTCACACATACTTGTAATTCAAGTCATTATTATTAATAGTATTGTGCAAATGGTGATTGTGCTCATCTATTGGTGCAGTTGTGCTATAATATTTCTCAGCTGTTTTGTGCTCAAATGCATTATTATTATAATCATGACTGTTATATTTATTATTATTATTATTGTAAATATTATAATTAATATTTGTTATATTTTTATTATAAAATTCCCTAAAACGCGGTGGTGATTGTTGTTGTTGTATTGGTGGTATTTGAGTTGGTGATAATTCATCTTCATCATATATACTATGTCCTTTATTATTATTATTATATTTTATTTTTGTATTTTTAAATATATGATGTCTTTGATTTAAATTAATATTATACATATTCATATCATTTATATTATCATTATCAATAATAGTATCACCATCCATATCAATATCAATACGATCTTCATGATGTTGATTATTTGTATGTTCATCATCAGTTGCTGGACGTAATGATGCCAATGCTAATGGAATTTTTTTCGATGGAAATAAAAAACTAAAAAATGATGATACACCACCAACAACAGTATATAACAATTGTTTTGTTGAATTATTATTATAATTATTATTAATAATTGTTGTTTCTTCATTTGAATCTGAATAATATACTGAATTCGATGACTCCGATGATTGTGGTAATTGATGATCAAGTATTTGTGATATCAATATAAGGTCTTTAATTTTATATATAATATATAAAAATTTTAATATTATTTTGTATAAAAATAAACTTTAGAAAATATATTATTATATAGATAGATTGTAGTATACAAAAAAATAATTTTTTTAATAAAATAAAAATATTAATAATTTTCAACTGTTAAAAAAGATATGTAGTTGAAAATTTTAATTGTTTACGTTGAAAATCTCTCTCTCTCTCTGAAGAGAATTACAATTGTTTTATGTATAGAGAATTTGAATCTTTGCGGTGTTCCGTATATTCATTAGGCCTTAAAAGTATGAATTCGAAAAAGATTTATTATGTAGCATTGTTATTTAAGGTAAAACTAATGTTTATTTTATTGTACAATATACACATATTAACAATAATTAGGGAAAATTTTGCAATAAATTTCGATTACATAAACAAAATGGCATATTAAAAATGAATTTTAATTTTTGTGAAGAATTTTGAAAAATAATAATTAAAGTGTATAATACAATACAGAAATTGTGCATTAATTAAGGTGCATATAATATTTAAATGTAATATTAAAAAAAAAAAATTATTTATGTGATTTATTTTACAGAATATAATTATCATTTGACTTTTTGTATTTTATTTATTTTATATGTGAAAGAAAAAGCGTGCATCGAAAGAGTGATTTCTTTTGCTTTTTTTTTTATAATATAAAAATTTAAGTATTTCCTGAAATTTTTTTATTTTCATAGAGAAAATTAAATAAGAAATATTTTTTTTATTTTATTTAATTTTTTTTTATCGAAGTATAGATAGATACACAATAATTAATAACAAATTATTTTAATTTTCATTCAATATTTTTTATGAAAAATATTATTCAATACATTCAATATTGTAAACAATATTTTACTACAATAATGAATTCTATTTTTAGATATAGGATATAGTTTTATAATATTATAAACATAAAAGAATGTCTCCATGTCATACATATAGAATTTTTATTTAAAAAGAAAAATAATGAAATAAAAATTAAGAAAATGAAATTAAGAATTATTGGACACTTGTTCTATAAGTGAAAAATGAGAAATTCCATGAACAAAAATATGACTAATTGAAAAATTAATTATAAAAAAAATACAAACTTTGAACATAAATCTAAATAAAATTTTAAATATTAATTAAAATTTTTTAATAAAAAATTTTCTAAAGAACAATCATTCAATTGATAAATTGGTGGAAATTTAAATTTAGAAAACATAAGATTTTCACAGAAGATTTCTAATAATAATTTTGTATATACGAAAATAATTAATTTGCAAGTTATTTTGAATTTATTTTTGAATGATCCTCAAACCCCGAATTCAGGTAATAATAATGTTAGTCTGGCAATGTCGCTAGTAATTATAAATTATAATACCATAAATTTCTCATTTTATTAATAATTAATATGTAATTATTAATATTTAATAATTATCCTTATTTCTATTATACTATTATTTATTTGATTTATATAACAAAAACAGTTATGAAACAATATTATTAGAATTGAATTACACCTCTAAAGAACAAAGATGTTTTTTTCTTTTCTATAATTTCAAAATAATGAAATTATATCATAATATTTTTATTATAATATAACAAATTTTTTGAAAATAGTACTATTGTAAATATTATACGAGTGTGGCACTATATATGAAAAATTAATGCAATCATTTTAGAATTGAGGTGCATTCTATTCTTATTCTCTTACACTCACTTTGATGAATCCTTAAAAATGACAAGATATATTCGTAATTTAACAAAATACGGAAACTCGAACAAAAATAATGAGTGTGTGTTACAAAATAATGGGAATCAAATTAGGGATTTCGGGATTCCAAAAATTTTTAGTATTATGCCATGAATAAAAGATCATGTATTATGCCATTATGCGTCTCCTTACAATTTTTTTTCTCTTCATAACAAAACTTTTTGCTTGTGCTGAATTGTGTTAAATTTTTAAAACGGGAAATATATAACAGGTCAATACCGATATTGGATAATTTTGTGTATTTTAAGAAGTTTTTTTAAGAATCACAATTAAAAAAATAATTTTTGTTGTTTTACGAAAATTCTTAAATAAAAATTTAATTTTATTTAATTTGAAATATTTTAAACAATTGCTTTTTGTTTAATACAATTTCGGAATTATACCGGAATTCCGAATTTTATTTTATGTAATTCAGAAAATTGTGGAATTAATTTTTTGATAAAAATTGGATTCCCTAATAATGGAGTGATAACAATTGATTAAGAAAACTTAAAGTACATTATTTTGAATTCTCAATTGATTTCGAAAATTATGTTTCTCTGTGGTATAAATATAGATTTTTACATTATAGAACAATCGATTGAAATTTTTATTTCTTTATTAAAAATAATTATTATTGAAAATTATAAATAATTATTATTTTATTAGCTACAATTATTATTGAAAATGTCGACTCTTTTAAATAAAATCTGTATTCAAATATTATTTTTCTTTACAGCCTAATATCTGTTGAAAATTATTGGTCTTTATCGTATTTCTTAAAGTGTTAAATTGACGTCGATTAGACTAATAACTAATAAAACGAAAATCAGCATTATAAAACTAATAATCTGCTTTATCTTTAAACAAATTTATGAAATAGATTAGTTCAATTAATTTATATTTATTCAATTCAATATTTTTTTTTAGACCTAATATGAATAATTAAAATTAAGCTAGATTTGATATTTTTTATTACTTTTTCCTTTAGTTCTATACTTGTTGTATGTTTTAAAACTGCAAATTTTTTATTTTAAATTTCCAACAATTTTTATTTTTCTCTTTTTTTTTTATTATATATTTTATACTTTTATTACCTTTAATAAATTGATATTTTTTTTATTTTAAAAAGGATAAACAAATATAGTTGAATAAAAACCTCAAAATCATAAATAAAACTTTTATGATTTTTGAATGGTACATAAAAATATTAATGAACCAAAATATCAAAAATGAAAAACAAAAAATAAAATATTTATCAATTTTATAAAAACTTAATAAAAAATTAACACAATAAACAAATAAAAGGAAAATTTTTTTATGAAATCAGACAAAAAAAAAAATAATTTTTATGTATGCGTTCAAATATAATAATTTTTCCAAAATGAAATTTTCGAAGGACATGGTAACTATACATATTATTTGTTTACTGTCTGGTTGATGCACAACAGTCAGAAAATGATTAAAAACAAAAGAAAAAGAAAGAAGAAAAAAATTTCTATGTGGAAAGGACAAATCTGAGAATAAAAAAAAAATTTATGATGAATGAAAAAAAAAATGTTTTTTCTTTTCTTTTCTGGTTTATCGTTTTTTTTTTTCTTTTTCTCTTTTTCAATAAAAGTAAATATAAAAAATGATCAAAGAAAATATTTTAATTACGATTTTATTTATTAATAAAATACATGGTGTCTTAATAAATTAATAATCCGTATGATTTTTTTATTTAAAAGAAATTTAATAAAAAAAATATAAACAAGTAAAAACTTTTCAGTCGGTATAAACCCGACCGCATTATACCGTGCATTTTGGCAATCTGACTTTAAAATTTTTTTGTGAAATACCTAGCTTTAATTGTTGTATACCAAGTACTCGAACCTGTCAAATTACTCTATAGAAACTGTGCGACTATGCCTGATCTATAATTGGACTCACGACTGCCAAGTTTCATGAATCTAGCTTTATTATTTTTCCGAATATTTAAAATTAGCTTTTGGAGTTGTATGACAGCCATTTGAACCAGTGCAGCCATTCCATTAAAATTTTCAGAACGTATGTAGAGTGTAATTGGATACATCTTTGCAAAATCTGATATTAATATTTTTATTGGTTTTTGAAATATTAAAGAAAGCCTTTTTGAGTTGTATTTTGACGGCTAACCGTTGTCCGAATTACAATAGCAGCCAACCCTGTCAGAAAGGAAACAACTTGCGAAAGTTTGGTGTCGATTGCATCATTCGTTTTTGATTTATCGTGCGATCGGACGGACGAACGGACATGGATAAATCAACGTAGAATTTTACGTTGAGCAAGAATATGTGTATATTTCCATATCGGAGACGACTCCTTCAAGTGGTTACAAACACCATACCAAAACGAATATACCTTTCATGAAGGTGCAAAAATAATTTAAAATTTATATAACACAGAAAGTAGTAATTTTCGAATGGAATATTAATTTAAATAATATTATAACAGTAGAAATTTTAAATTCAACATACTACATAATATACAAAGTTAGAATAAAATATTTTGCATAAATATCTAAGCAGCAATTGAAATATTCCATAAGAAGTTTAGCTGAATTATTAAATTGTATAAGTAAGGATTTAGGAAATTACTATTTTTATATTTACGTAAATACTTTTGTATAAATCAATTCTCTTACACTAAAATGAATTAAATTCAAAATTCAAGCTTAATAACATAATAATGGAATAGAAGCCTTAAAATTTTATATTCCATTTTATAATGGAACATCAGCTGCTAATATGACATTAGAACATTAATGAAATAATTACATTGGTTCAAAGTATTAATAATTAAGGACGAATATCTCTCCATAATCGAACATTAACTGTTAATATTATATTTGGCTATACAGACAGTGATCCTAGATGCTAGCGAAAAATCTGGCAAATTACTTAAGTCAATATAATATAAGTATATTGTTATACAATTTTGGACTTGAATATAATTGGAATATAATATATGTACTGTACATATTTAACATAAACAAAATCGAAACTTCCAAATAAGTTTCAAACAATTCAAAACAATTTTATAATTCAATTTGTAAACCACCTTGGTTTTAGTTTTGAAAGTCATTGTATTTTTTCGAATTTGTCAATATTCGTACTATTAGCAAAGTAATTATAAATACCTCGTGCCAATTGCTGAAAACTATCAGGTAATTTTGTACACGCGTTAGATGAACATAAAATTATTGAGTTATAAACATATTTAATTATGAACAGATTAGTTGCATTTGTAAATAAATCGTCTTTAAGTATAGTTGTATCTAGTATTGCAAGAATATTCAAAAAATATTGCATTTTTAATTTTTCTCAATAGTAGTTAATTATTTTGAAAATTTCCAATTAAATTAACGAACGTTATAACAAAAAATTCTCTGGTAAGAGTTTTCATCTAACAAAAATCTAACCAAAACGTTAAAAATGGGAAAATTCTAGATAAATCTGATGATTCAGTATGATAAATTTGTATACAGAGAGAAATTTGTTCTTTAAGTCGAGATAATTTATATTTTAAGTCGAGTATAACAATATTTTAAAAATATTTTGTAGGATTGAAAAATTTGCGTGCAGAAGGAGAAATTGAATATCTTCTTTTATTTGATTTTAATATCTTAAATTGCGTATTCATTTTGTTTGGGATATTATAAGGTTTATTTAGGTAATTGTAAGGCTATTCTAAAAGCTGAATTTGGAAAAAATTCGTTTTTATATTATTAATGATGCACATAAGTAATTACCCACTACATTCATCAATTCAAAATTAACTACAATTTTAATGCTGATTTCCTAATTAAATATAACAGTTCGAAATAATTTAATTTTTCTAATAGTTATCGATTTAAAGTTCTTGTGTCAATTTTTTTTTAGTTTTGTAATTTGAATTAAAACACCTTGTATTTTATTTTTCTTTTTTAAAGGCGAATTATTTTGTTCACTATAAATACTATTTATAATTATTGTATATATATATATATATATTATATTTTTATTGAAATACTATATAAAATATTAAGATATTGCATTCATTTAAACAATGTACGAGTATATAGATACATGTATGTAAACATATATAATATACATTAATAGTTATATGTGAACATATTTTTATTAATTATAATGTATGTAAATACATATATATGTATAAATATACGATATAGACAGAGAAAAAACAATGATAATGTATAGATATATAATAACATTTATAATAAAAATTTTGTTTGTGTTAATATTGGTAGGGTCTAGTTTTATTTTATAAATTTTTACTGAATCCTTTCTTTTTATATTTTTTCTGGTTGTCCTTTTACTAAAAAATATTTTATATTTACTTTATATATTTTGTTCTTTTTATTTTCTTGTGATTTTTCATAATTTTTACAAATTGAAAGACAAAAAAAAAAAAAAAAAAATATTGAAAATTACCGTAAAAATATCGAATAATAAAAATGATAAAAAAAATATTGTTCCTATAGAATTTTTTCTATATATTTTTCCTTCTGTAAGTATATATATGTATATAGGTACACATTATACAATACAATATACACTCACTTGTAATGATAAAAAATATTATACGTAAATTACACGATACAAACTATACAAACAAATAAATCGTAGAAAAAATTATTAAAACGAAAATTTTATGTAAATATAATAATGAGAATAAAAAAAAAACATAAAACTATACTTGAACATTTTCATTCTGAACCTATCTATATACCTATATTTTTATGGAGGAACACCATATAAGAGAAAATCCAAAAAAAAGGATATAATAAAATAGTAGAGTGCATTCATTTCGTATTTTATATTATCCTTTTCAATTTTCTCCATTTTTTTTTTTAATTTTTACTTTCGTTGTTTTGTTTATTTTCGTTATTATAATTATTACTCTCTGATTTTTAATTCCAGTCGTGTGTCCTTTTATTTTTTTTTGGTTTTTTTTCCTTTAATTTTATTGACGCTTTTTTTTGCTTTTAAACTATTTCATTTCTTTTATATTATATTATTTTTTTTTTATTTATTTATTTTCTATACATATACATATTTATTGTAACGCTATATATGCATATACTCATATAATATTCTCACAACAAAACTCACCAACACATGGATTGTGATTGACAACATTAAATATTCGATCACATCGTCGTTTCATATGATTATTTGGACAGATGCAACCAAACATAGGGGATAATCTTAAATTTGTCCATGATTCGTGGCATAAATCTCTGTTATATAAATATAAATAAATAAAGAAGAAAAAAAAAACAAATTGGTTATGTAATCCAATTAAATAAAAAAAAAGAGAAGAGTATATATGAGATAAATATTTTATTTATGTATGTTTGTACATAGCTATATTGAAAAAATATAAATAATATTAATTAAGGACATTTAATTGACCATTAAGTAATGATTTTTATTATTGTTATATATGTATTTAATGTTTTTTATTTTTGAAAATGTGGCGAGAAAAAATTATAATAAAAAATTATGAATGAGCCAAACAAAAAACAAGTCTTCATGCATTTTTATTTTATTACATACAAAAATTAATAATTATGTGTGTCTGTTAGATTATGATGGTAAAATAAGTAAAAATGTTTCAGTCTATATCTTAGACGACTAAATTATACCCTACGCCATAGCAATTTGATTTTAAAGTAAAAATTTAAAACAGTAGGTTAACCAAATTTTTAAGGCTTGTGCAAAACTTAATTCTACACTATCAAGACTTCTGGAGATATCTGAACTATAATTGCAAACATGACTGCCAAATTTTACGGTTTTTCAGGTTTTTAGGTATTTAAAATAATTTGTTTGTGTTGTATGGCAGCTACCTGAACCCATTGTTCCAACTTATCTAATTATGATAGCAGGTTTTTTTTTAACAGAAAACGAACAATTTATCGAATTTTTGTTATGCTCTTTTAGTTTATGATTTATCGTACTATGATTTACGTAAATCAACGTAAAATTTCACGGTGAACGAGAATATGTCATCACGCGTGTGCCAAAACAATGAATGTGCTTTTTTGTGTAAGTTTTGAGTTTAGGATACTAAATTATTTTCTTTTTCTTAAAGTAATATTTATATACTAAAACCACTGAAGTCTTCTTCTACTACAAAACCATCATTTTAAACGTTCTAAACTAATAATTTTTAAAATTTTGAAAAAAATAACAAATGATTTGGTATCTCTAACTCACAACTTAAAAAAATCACTTTCGTTGTTCTGTAACACACATGACGATAATATACTGCATACTGCAGACGGCTGAGGTGTAGGGTATAACGTGAAAGTTCTTACCGTCAAGCATTCGCAATGATAATGTTTTAAAATGATTCAAATTAAAAAAATCGAAAGAAAAAACAATTTTTATTTAATATTTTTTTTAATATTTTACTTAAAAAAATTATTTTATTATTAATTTGAATATTTTTTGTTTTTGTTTTTTTAATATAAAAATAATGAATAAATAATTAATTTTTAATTTTTTTATTATTATTATTGTTATTCTGATTAATTTTTTAAAATACGGTGTTCTTGTTATTAAATGAAATGAAAAACGTGTACTTAATCTCTTGTATGACATTTTTATAATAATTTAATTACTAAATTACTCTATATATATTAAATACTTTAAGTTTATCGTATACAATTTGTATGAAATAATTAATGTAGTATGTTTATAAATTAACGTAAAGAATAAAATATAATAAAAATTTGTATAAAAAAAATAAATGTCATACCTGTCATCCATTCGACATTTATTGTCTCGAACTTTACAATTTAATTTAAAATCATCAAATAATTTAGAACATTTTCTTTCTTGTTGGCATACTGATAGCGCATGATTACATGTCGGTAGTGCATCAATTGGATAAGGATCTTTTTCCGCTAATTAAAATATATTATATATTTTGAAATATAAAATGAAAATTAATTTGACAAATTTAAATATAAAAAAAAATCAAATATTTATTTAAAATTATTTTATTTATAATTATAATAGTATTGTATTCGAACATATAATTGGAAATTTGAATGTAATATGAGGCAGAATTTATATATATTGGAAGTATCTATACATAATACATATTGTAATTATAGCTTTATATGGAATTTGTAGCATTTTTTCAACAAAATTTTTGGAAAAACTTGTTAGTAGTTTAAATCTGAAAAAAATTTCTACACCTTTTGATAAAAATTTTACATGAAGGTAGCTTTTTGTAAGAAACATATTTCTCTAGAAAAAAATTTTGTCCTACATTTTCCTCATTTAAATGTTATGACCCTTAAAAAGCTTAGGAATTCTATTTTTTAACAATTTGTTGTAATCCACAATTTTTTGTCAAAGCACAATTATTGTAATCCGCAGACGCTTCTCCCTTTCTGTTAATACTTTGTAATGAGAATATTGATAAATTTTATGAAGAAAATAACATTAATGGGACTGTAGTACAGTATAAGACACCGGCAGCGATTTACCTTTGTTCTAGTTTTGTATGTTCCTATGTTCTATGTTTTGAAATAAAAACAATTACGTTGTAAGGATTTTTGGGCGATACTCGTAATGTGTAGAAACTCGACCCTTTACCTTAATATAGAAAATGCCAAAAATATTTTAAGCATTGATATGGCGCTCTGTAATAATTGTTTCTATGTGAATCAGTAAAGCACAATACTTTGCGTTTTGTACCAAACAAATTTATGGGAAAAAAACAGTCAAATGTTTTTGGTAAAAAAAATTTTGAATATAAGAAAGAACACTTCAAAAATTCTTCCTTATTTCATCCTTGTGATTGCTTTTATTGTTTTTTTTTCCTTACAAAAAAAATAAATGAAAAAAATTTCGTCTAATGCATTAAATTTTTGAAAAGAAAAATTCTCTTGAAATATTTTCAAGAAATTTCATATATTTTTCAAGAGGTTAATGTGCGTTCTTGTCGTTATTATATTATACATATATATATATATTATGTGAATTTATAGGTAAGTATATTATGTAGGAATTTTTACATAATAAAACAAAGTCTTATAATATTTTCTTTTCAATAAAATTTATAGGTGCCTCTTTAAGAGAATAAATAAAAGGGGAATTTCATAAATTATGATTTGTGCCTCTATAATAAAAATTAATTTAAATTTAGTATGAAAATTTTTTTATACATAAAATAATGTTCCTCCATCAATTTTAACCATTTAAATAAAAACAACAAAGAAAATTCAAATAAAAAGAGTTTTCCTCTGGTTAACAAAAATCTTAAATTAAACGCCTTATTTTTAACCTTTAAACAATTTTTTTTTTCAGGATAATTTAATTTTCTCGAATAAAAAATTTGTTTATGAAATTTTTATTAAATTATAATTATCCTTTACGCCTTCAAAATTATTTTGTAAATTATAATATAAATTTTAATAACAAATCTATAAATATAAAATGAATTTCTAAATATAGAAAAAGGCTTAATAGATAATTTAGGCGTCCTTTTCTTATTCTAGAAAATTTAAAGGAATTTTATTTTTTTTGAGTAAATTTGCTGTTCAAAGAGTCAGAGGATTAATAATTTCAATTTAATTTTGATTAATTTTCATTTTTGATAATTTGATTTAATTTATTAAACATTATTTATTCAATTTAATTAAGAAAAAAGTTTTTTAAATATTTTACACTAATTTCAAAATTATGGAGAGAATTCTCTAGTCTATAGTAAACCTAAAATTAAGATTAATAAAAATTATTATTGTAATCGCAGAAGGAAGGAATACGACAAACTATATGTAAATGAGAATACATAGCGGCTCTAATAAATAGTATGTTATTTCAAGATTGTTTTGCAAATCCAAAAGAAACTCCAGAAGAATATTGATTTTTATACTTATTTCGGGTATTTTAAATTAAAGACTTGAAAATATTTTAATCATGTGACTCAAGAACGTTGAAAAGTAAAGTAACTACTAATAATTATTAAATAACATTACTAATATGAAAAGAGTTTTTTGTGATCACAGGGAATCTACAGATTCTGCTAATATATGATAATAGGCTGTAGCAAAAATATTTTTGGAGGTATTTAAAAAAATCTTTTGCAAAACTTTAAAGCCGTTTTCTGGCTAAACTAGAAGAGATAGAGCGATTCTAAGTGTTCTTTGTGATCACCGATATTGATGACGACATATTAACGATATACTGTGAAAATCTAAATTTATAATTTATTTACATATAAGAAAATTCAAATTTGCAAGAATTTTAAAAATTTCCGAATTCGAATTAGACCGTTTCATTACCTAATCCCAGAATTTAGTATATTAATTTTTAGTATTTTAGTATTTAAAATAATTTTTGTTATTTAAAAATGTAAGGGTAATAAAAGAGTTCTAAAATTCTTCGCTATTACGCACAAAATATAATATGGTTGTTTTTGAGCAACTGTAAGGTATGAAATTTCACATAACTTACATATTTTCGTTTAAAAATGTAAGCAAATATAAGAATTTTTAAAATAATATCTGAGTATTATCGGACGCATTAAAGTCACTTTGAAAGCAATTCCATTAATTAATTGAGTTTCTTTCAATGTACGCACTTGTAAAATTTATGAAACCAAGCTACAAAGTTCGAACACCTTTTTCGAACACAAACCTCAACACAAGTATACGTTTTGTAACACAAGAGGACATAAGTCTATGATTGATTATATAATTACCAACAGAAATATTCATCCCACACAAATATTAGATGTACGATCACTTGCTTCAGGTAACATTGGTACTGATCACAGCTTGGTTCTATGCAAAATGAGAATGATGGCAAATACAAACAAAAAAAAGAAACCTCAGTATATTGATAAAATAAATATAGAGTCAATAAGCAATCCATCAATTAGGTACCTTTATGAAGAAAGATTAAAACAAAAAATCAATAGTAATCCGATCAACAACAACGACGATATCAATGAAGCTTGGTCAAAACTAAAAAGCAACATTAAAGATGCAGCATATGAAACACTAGGAACTAGAAAAATAAACTTAAATGGCCAACCTAATAATAAACCATGGTTTTGTGCAAAGGTTAAAGAACTGGCAGAAGAAAAACGTAAACATTATTTGACATACAGATGTACAGAATCTGCACGCGATTACCGAAAATATGTAAAAGTTAGAAATCAGGTGAATCGCGAAATTAGAAAAATAAAAACAGAATTTTGGATAAAGTTTACGAAGGATATGGAATATGATTTGTATGGAAGCCAAAAAAAGGTATGGAACTTTATAAGAAATCGAAAAAAACCCATAAACGACTACGTAACAAACGCCTCTGTAAGTCTCGAGGTCCTTGTAAATCACTTCATGCAGGTTTATGAAAGCGAGGTAGTAGAAATTTCATTGGCGGAAGAGCTTGAAACTTCAGATGAATCAGACTATTTTATCAGTAAAACGACCATCTTAGAAAATTTAGCAACATTGAAAAATAGAGAGTCGGGTGGTATAGATGATATTGTCAATGAATATCTTAAATATGGTGGTGCAACACTTGCGGATGAGTTAGTAAAATTGTTTAACCACGCTATTCAGACACAATCAGTACCATTGGATTGGAAAAGTAGTTTGACGATTCCCATATTTAAAAAGGGTTCAAAGGCCGATCCAAAAGACTATAGGGGGATTACGTTGTTGAGCGCTGTTCAAAAACTACTCACGAAAATTATAAATGATGAAGTGTTATCAAAAGTAGTCATCAGAGAAGAGCAAAATGGTTTCCGGAAAAACAGATCAACAATAGATGCCATATTCACACTACGTCAGATAATTGAGAAGTCCATAGAGTTTGACAAACCTGTGTTTATATGCTTTGTGGATTTGACGCAAGCTTTCGACCGGGTTCGTTTGGGAGACGCACTTCAGATCCTGCAAATAAATAACATACATGCAAGTCTAATAAGGGTTATCCAAGAACTGTACACAAATAACAACACAAAGGTCAAAATAAGAAATGATGTGTCTGAGGAAATACCAACCTCTTCCGGTATAAGACAAGGTGATAGTTTAAGTCCCACTTTGTTTAACTTGGTCATGAATGAAATAATTAAGGGACTGATCGATTTCGGAACTGGCTATAAGATAGGAAGCGAGGATATTAAAATAATATGTTATGCTGATGATGCTGTCCTACTAGCAGAAAACGAGGACGATCTGCAAAGACTATTATTCAAGTTCAAAACTATCGCTGAGTCATTCAACATGAAAATATCCATTGAAAAAACCAAATGTATGACGATCGCCAAAGAACCGATTCGATGTAAACTATCGATTGAAGATCAGTCAATTGAGCAGGTTATGAGCTTCAAATACCTTGGAGTCGAAATTACGAGCCATCGAGATAACAACAAGGAGACACAGGTTCAAACAGCAAAGGCCTCTGCAATATCGGGCTTTGCGATGTCATATGGAAAAATAAATATATGCTAATTGAAAATAAGGTGCGTGTTTACAAAACTTGCGTGCGCCCCATAATGACATATGCAGCTGAAACAAGAGCAGACACGTCATCGACCAAACAAAGATTGCGAGCCACAGAAATGCAAACTCTTAGGCAGATCTGTGGATATACTTTGCTTGACAAAAAAAGAAGTGCAGATATAAGAGAAGAATGCAAAATTCAAGATATTGTTCGATGGACTAGATGCAGACGGCGCTACTGGAGGGACCATGTGAACCGCATGAGCGAGAACCGACTACCCAAAATAGCCATGACCAACAAGCCCAACACCAAAAGACTCCCAGGCAGACCTCCTAAAAGGTGGCATGAGTGCTGGACCTCTACATCCCACGATCATGAAAATCCATAAAAGAGAATATTGGATAAAACAGGCAAATGTGCCTACAACAAGAAGAAGAAGAAGAAGAGAAGAAGCTACAAAGTTATGATTTTCTAACAGTTGTTTATTGAAGTAAACTTTTTTAAAATAAAACTTAAAGATTACATTTCTTTCCAATTTCCATTCTTTGAAAAATTTTAATTTTAAGCATCTCAGATTTTACAATTGCGTTACGAAACCTTACATGCAGAACTATATCATGACTATAAAAGACCACAAAAGAGACATGTGGGCATTTTATACAAAAGTTCAAAATTAGATTAAATATGCGGTTTTTTTCCACTGGTTTGAAGAAAAATTTGACTCCTAAAACTTTAAATTTTTTTTTTTAAATTTGGTTTCTTATTTTTCTGATTTCATTTTTGTAATTTTCTTTTTGATTTTAATTTTATTTTGTCATATACGATTGCTACCTTATATTTTATGTGTATGTGAAAAAATAAAGTTTTTTATATGTTTTTTTGGTATATTTAAATATATCTGTGTGTGTACGTGTGTATAAATAATTAAATTTACTTTCCAAATAAATAAAGTTTCAAGTATTCTTTGAGTAATTTTATTTTATTTCGGAGATTTTTTCTTTTTTTAATTTTATTTATTTTGTTTTTTCTTCGTTTGTTATTATTTACTTCTTTTACTCTCTTTACTTTACCGTTATTTCATTGTAACCAATTTTACCTGCACAGATTGTTTTTCTTTTCTTTTTCTTTTGCGTTTTATTTTGTTAATATACCAAACAAAATTCCTACGTAATATACCGTAAAAGTAATTTAGATATAAAAGAGAAGGATAAGAAAAAAATGAAAAAAAAAGAGAAAGGAATCGGGAAACTCAATTTGGAATTTAATCATTTTATTAGTTCACGTTTGTATAATATGAGAATGTTAACGTGTGTGTGTGTGTGTGTGTATTTATTTCCTTTTTTTTTGATACTTTTCTAAAATACTTAAAGCTTTATAAAAAAGAAAAAAATATAAAAACAACAAAACAATTTTATATATTGAGTTCATAAGGACATAAAAAGAAAAGAAAGGAAAAAAAAACAGAACAACAAAAGCAAGGATACATTTATGTAATTGGGAATGGTATTTGTGTTTTTTTAAGAAAGGGAAATAAGAATATATTTAATTCTCTAAGATTCTACAAAGCACAATATTTGTAGTCGTACGGCTAAATTGCCAATAATAAACATTAAAAACATTGTTGACAAATCTATTCGCATAGTTTGATTAAAAATTAATTTTTCTAATTTAAGCACATTTTTACTATAAACAAATATATTTTAGTATATCGGAAAAATTTTACTAGAAAAGCTCTCATTCAACCAAAAAAAAAAACTATTCGTATGTATGGCACATCAGTTCCTAAGAATTAAAATGTCATTTGTCTCCAATGGTGCTCTCAAATTTGAAATGAGAAAATTTATGAAATCTAAATTTTTATCATCGCCGTTATGATCATTATTTCATTAATTTTTTGTATTTCTTAAATGATTTTTGTATCTTTTCACTAAACCAGGATGAAACTGTTGTGCCTTATGTATTAGTGCCGCCAGAATTCATCCAAATGAATTGAAACATAATTTTTGTTTTCAAAATTTTGCAAAATCTTATGATCTAACTGCAAGATTTTCTATTAATATTAAAATTTTGTCGTTATTCTTAATCATAATTCGAAATTATAATTTTTGAATCATAGTCCCGTACCTGATCAGAACACTTGTGTAAATATAGAATGTATAATTTCAAAATTTTTAAAAAGAATAATAAAGCTTGTATTTTCAAATCTAATCTTTGGCAAATAAATTATCAATTTCGTTATCTCTTTAAAATTAATTTCAGTTGATAATAAAAAAAAAAATATTCGGTTAAAAAAAACGCAACATTTTAAGTGTTTTTCGAACAAATTTCGTATATAACACAGTTTTTTAAAAATTGCATAATTATAGGCGACAACTAAAATTTTTAATAATTTAAAACAGCTATTAAGAAATTTATTTTCGATTTAAATAGACTACCAGGTTACTGTTATTATTTTTGGATGGACAAACTACCACAGAATTTTTGCCGAAATTAAAAACAAAATTGTATACCAAGATTTGTAAGCCAAAAACCGTACGTATTGCGTAGCCCCACCTATAAACATAGCTATATAATTTTTTTTTAAATAAAATTTTCAAAATTTTATTTTCGAATATAATTTGTTTTGTTTTTTTAAATTTAAGCTGTAGAATATTAAAAAAAGAAATGAAAAATTAGAAAGACAAAGAAATATTTAAAGAATTCTTTTATGTGTAGGTACATTTAAAGATTCTTTAGAAAAGCAACACAATTTTTTACTGATGTACCCTCCAAAAAAAAAAAAAGTATTCCAATAAAAACAAAATTTATCATGTAGGTACTTAATGTGCTATAATACTTGAAATTACGTTATGACATGAAAAGATGTGCCCGGAATGAATATAGTATCTGTGTGATTTATTTTTATACACTAAACAATCTTATATACTTATATACATTGACATTAAAATTGGCTGCCCTTAAATTTAAAGTAGTATAACTAAAATATTGGGGGAAAATCACGAAAAATGATGAATTTTGAAATGATGAAGAGATTTTGTATACTCTTATGAGCTCAAACTATGAGAATTTTATATTATAATGATTGTCAATGGTGTCTGGTAAATTTTTATATTGAAAACTTAATAAGAAATATTTTCTTCTAAAATGCAAGGAAAGGCAAATAGAGAAATCTTTAAAGAAGATTTAATAAAGAATTTCTTAAATATTAAAACAAATTTAGAGAACAAAGAACAACGAATATAAGAGAAAATCCACAAATTATGGGATTTTATATGTGCATAAGAATTTGTGTAAATTTTTTTACAAGGATACCTTCACGTTTAAAAATTTCAATTAAAATAATTTATGTGATTTTTATTGTGAAAAATAAAACAAAATATTTATAATATGATGAAAATTCTTGAAAAATTTTTCCGATTTATAAATAGAAATACTATAAAGTTAAGTATCATCATAATTTTTTTGCTTAAGTCTAATACTTTAACAAATATTTGATTACAAGATTTAAGAAAAATTTGTTCTTTTCGCAAGTTTATATTTATTTAAAGAATTTTAATTTTATTTGTATTTAAATTTAAAATTTATTGTTAGTTTTTTATATATTATTACCAATCCTTTATTTAATCTTTACATACTTGTATATGCTTATATTATATAAATTCTAAAATCTGCTAAATTATTTTTATTAAGGGGCTTTAAATAAATTGTAACAATTACGTAAAAAATTCAGATTGAAATTATGCTCAAATGCATATTTAAAATTGTGGTACAGGCCAAAAAGTGCAATTCTTGAATTCGTATCTTTAATATATTATGTTAGTTTGAAAATCAATTTATTTTTTCATTCTTGTTAATCAATTCCAGTAATAAGATGTGAACTCTATTAAAAAGAATGGTAAATATAGTAGTTGTTATTCAATGCTATTCTCTTATCCTGCTGTCTTTGTTAAAACATAAATTTTTTAGTAAAATTAAAAGCAAAATAAAATCTCAAATAACTTCTTATTGACTGTATAACAGTGTTTTACAAATATTTAAAGCTTCATCTTGATTCTAAAATCACAATTGAATTGTAAATCCTTTGAGAGTCGACTCAAAAATTGTGTGCAATATGCTTTCGTTATATTTCAATTTTTTATATTCTGGAAAGGATTTCATTGTGCTCATTCAATATCCAATACCAATATAATATGAGTAACAGTTTCTTAAAATATTTTATAAAATGCTCCCTATAAAATTTTAAATTGGTTGTCTTATTTTTTTTAATCATATAAAAGGTAATTTAAGGCCTTATGTTTATGAACAATAATAAATTTTTTTCTTTATATATACTTGTCCGCTTATATTGCGCTTATCTTTCACTTAATAATTAGAAAATTGAAGTTTCTTAAACATATTTTCGCAATGAAAATAAGTAGTTCTTATTCTTTTGTGATAAATTTCAATCCAGAAAGACTGGGTTGAAAAATTTATAGTTTTAAAGTAATGGTCTGCATTCTAAAAGGAAATTTCTGTATTTTGGATGCCTAATCATAAAAGATTCCTCTCTGCATGAACGTGAAATGACGCACATTTAGAAAATATTTCTTATTAAAATTTAATGTTTTCATTTAAATTCTTAAATTCTGCCCGATACATCAAAATTCTTAAGGATTAAAAAGCTCTTTTATATGTACTCGTACCTTCGATTCGCTTTCAAATTTTTGCAATTCTTTTGAATGATTGCTATATATGTACATACATATATAGAAATACACTGCATATTATCTAACCAATTTATACATATACCTTTTTGGTTATATTTAGATACATATATCGTACATGTAAGATATATTTTCAGTATATGATAAAATTTATAAGAACATACATATGTATACATGTACAATATACATATATATATATGTAAATTACACCACTTTAAAAAGAGAACATACATATGTATATATATATAATAATAAATTTACTTACCTTTCTTAAGAACGAAACCACACGGATGATCAAAAAGAAAATCACGAAAATTATTACAGTCTGGATCAACTCCTGGTTCTTTACACAGACATGTTGGACGAAAAAATGGAAACGCTTGAAGTGTTCTCAATGCTGCTTGACATTTCGTTACCGTAACAGTAGCACATGCCACTAAAAATAAAATGTAAAAAAAAACGAAATAACAATAAGAACATACAATAAAAAAAATTCTTATTACAAAATTTATATTTTTAAAAAGAAAATTGAGAAAAAACAATCAAAACATAAAATGAAAAGAAGAGTGAAAGAATGAAATAATTTTCATGTTAATATGGAATGGGACCATGATTTGTATTTATACGTATGTATGTATGTGAAATGAAGGTGTGTTAAATGGCTCATATTGTGATATTAAAGTTCAGTTTTTAAAGCTTAAATAATAGCTACACATGAAATAATTTCCAGAGATGTCACAATGATTTTATAATAAATTTCGTGTTTACTATAATGAAATAAAATTGTAGGGGTTGGCCATTATGGTAAAGTATTCGGGAATAAGAAAAAAAAACTTGGGTGTATAGAATAAATGCAGTTAAGAAAATTCATGAAGATTTCAACGATTAATTCTTTTAAAAGTACCGTAGGGGTCAGAAATGAATAATTTTAAAATTAATGCATATTAAAAAATGTGCATTACCGACTATTATGCAGTCAAATAAGATTTTCATTAATAATAAATTATTCATTATTTATGAAGGTATAAAAATGGGATGGCTTTGACAAATATTTGAGATTAAATTTGAAGTTTTTAAGACCTTTTCATATTTCTTACACTTGATTCATTTGACGCAGGAATCAGTACTTAAACATAATTAGAACATCGAAATCAGATACAATTTTTGTTTCGAACTGGGTGTCAAATCTTAAGCGGCTTCCGACAGACAGGCTGTTTTTAATTTTTCACAAGTATTTTGCTTAGAATTTCTGTTTCGAAAACGATAGAAACTTCAAACAAACTGTTTTTACAAAACCAATAAAGAGTTTGAAATCAATATAACTTTCCTTTGTATTTTAAGTATTGTTAGAATAACAAACATTCTGAAACTCCAAAACTTCAGCTGTTTCCCTGTTATTTAAACCTTGATGTTAACGATCAAACGTTAAAAACTTTATTGGCTGTCGAAATATATCAAAAGGGTTTAAAATTAATTTAGTGATAAAAGAAAGTCCTGAAATAGAGTTTACACTGGTCACAAAAATTTTTTCAGCAGACTCGCTCAGGTTTTAAGTTTATTATCAAATTGCAGACCTCAGACCTGATTAATAGTGCAGTAGGCAAGTCACTTTAAAAATATATACAACATTACATAACTTGATTTGCATTACATAAAAAAATAAAAAATTAATATTAACTGAATACAATATTTCTAAAAGATCTAATATAAAATTCCTGCAAAATGAAACAATAAATATCACCAACCTTAAATATTTAAAATGAAAAGGAAAAAACTAGGCCAGGCTCGTCACTCACCTTACCCAATGACGCAAGAAATTGGGGTATGGTTATCTACAATTCATGCAATACAATTTGACTGAAACGTTTTTACTTCTTACTCCTAATGATTGGCTCGTAATCTATTTAAGACCAAATAACTTATAAAGTTGTATGGAAGCTACAAAAACCATTATTTCGATCATAATTTGGATCATTTTAAATAAAGTTTTTATATTTACTATACAATAAATCATTTGTGAAGAATTTAATTCATTTAGTTTTTGGGTTATCGCTGGGACGCTGTTTATACAAATGAACTTGCAAATTTATAAAACCGTTCCAACGTACATACATTCGTACGGTGAGTATGGAAATTTATGAATTTACTAAATTTATCATAAAACTTCAACAATACTAATATATTTACACCACATCAATATGCATGAATAAGAATAAAATATTTGTGAATTGTTCAGTTATTTAATAATTACAGTATGCAAGGTATTCCAAAAGTAAAATTTTCATTTTTGAAAAACAAAAAAATTTTTTCACTATGGTGACAACAATACAAAATGAAATAGACAATTATTTTATTTTACATGTTCCCCTGAATCAAGGGCATACGTGTATATGTAGGTATTTTAGATTTTAGTTTACCGGGAAAAAAACTTATGTATTATACAAGACATTATTACAGAAATAAAAGCATAAGAAAAAAAAATCACTTGTAATATGAAAGAAAACGTTAAAAAATAAAACATAAGTAATAATGTAAAACAAAAGGAATCTAAAGAAACAATCAAAAAATGATTTCATGTTGAAATTATAGGAATATGAAAAAAATGAATACACTGAGTGTCCCTGAGGAATAACTATATGTTTGTATGTATTTATCATGCATGTATAATATTCCAATAAGATAAGACAATCATATGAGCGTATAAAGAATATAGAAAGAGAATATAATATAGACGAAAAAATTAAAAAATAAAGTTGAGTCAAACCAATGGTTTGTATTGTAGCAGTTTTCCCTTCAACAAGATAAAATACTGCTTTCAAATACAGTCTATGTAGACTGTATTAACACTATTAAAATTATTTTCACTCATAAACGAAATTATTTCTAGGATTGCATATATTTAGGGTGAACGATTTATGCAGTCTTTCAAATTTCTAAAGGCTCCTACAACTTATGGTCTAGAAGAAAAACGACATCAAAAAAAAAAAAAAAAAAAAGGATTTTAGATAACGGTAAATTTGAACGGCCATCTTGTTTTTTTAAAGTTCAACTATGGTACGCGGCGATAGAAGAAGTAAGCCACTGACTTTCTTCGATTGGGAAATTTTGGAAAATGCTTATGGTTTTAATGCAATAAATAGTTAAAAAATGTAATTTTGGGGGGGGGGGGGGGGGTGGGGGGGGGAGATAGGTAAAGCTTTTGTTCTACGGAAATAAGTTTCTAGTAGAGATCTATGCACATATTAAATTTCAGCTTTCTATCTTCAAGGGTGTAGAAGTTTTGTGAACATGTCCATGGACGGACAAAATTTTTTTGGAAAAGTGCTAATAAAAAGAGAAATATAAAGCATAAAGAGAATTTTCCATCCAGTATACTGTACGTAAAAGGGGATTTAAATATAAAGTACATTGGATAAACTAGTTATTTCTTTATATTATGTACCTATGTAAGTATATCTATATATGTTATATAATGTATTATACCTGAACTTAGTAAATATTCAATTCTAATAATATTATATTTAAAGAGAGATGACTATAGCGAAAACTACATAAAAAGTTTAAATTTAAAGGAATAGAATGAAATTTACGAAAAAATCCGAGGAAAAAAGTAAACAAATAAAATTTTAATATAGAAGGACAGTAATCCTTTTGAATTTGACTTAAATTTTCATCATACATGTTATATTGCACATATTATTACAAACAAATATGATGAATATTGTAATCGTAATCTAAAGTAGAACAAAAGAAAGGAAATCAAATTTTTTTTCCTCATATATTTATTTTTCATATTCCTTTTTCATATTACTGTATTATATTATGCAATTTTATTAATTTACCTGTTCATATTTTTAAAATACACAAAAAATATTCTTTATATTTCAAAAGCCCTAAATAATTTAGAAAATATTTTCTATTTATAGTTTGTAGGATATGATAATGCTTATGTGTATGTGTGTATATTAGTGCATTATTTTTATATTAATATAATAAAAGTATATCTATGTACTTATATTGTAAAGCACATCCCTTAAACAAATTCAAATAATTCATAAAAAATAAATTATTTTTATAGAAACTAAATATGAAAATTGTATATGTATACATACAATTACATTTCAAAAGAAATTCAAATTTATTATATTGGACGCAACATTGACATGAATATCTATTATAGTGTATAATTTTGTCATGAACTATTAAGAATTAAATTAGTTATATTATTATTTATATAACAATATTATTTAAATAAAAAAATATATTATTATTAAAGTTAAATGCTACAGTCGAACTGTATTATATTGTGAATGGAAATATTCTTTAAAATACAAGTAATTGTATTGCATTCTGAAGAGTGGATCACTTGTAGTAGCGGTGATAGTGGTACTTATTAGACTATTTCTAAAAGTTAAAAGACCTAAATCATTTGTATAAAACGATTTCGCATGTTTTTTAATACACAAATAACACGTTTTACTGGAAAAGCTGTGAAGGATAGAGGAAAATGTGATATAGGTTAATTTCTAGCCTCTCGTTGTAGAGCAAGTATTTAAAGCGAAATTTTTTTGATAACATTTATAAACGTAACCTATATACAAAATTTGTAAAACAGGAAACTGAAACTTTAATTTTAGATTTTAGTTCTGTTAATATAATCTTGCATTTAGTATGTTAGCAAGTATGTTAGCAAGTTATTTTGAGCTATGCTTACTATATATTGTTTACTACTTTGAAACGGAAGGGAGTGCACTTTTTGGAAACTGCATGTGGTGCTCAACAAGTCAGAACCGGGCCTGCTACAGAATATTATCAAGTGACACAACTTAATATGTATTGAATTTAATAAACCATTTATACCGATGAATTTTCAATTAATTGAATGCTTGTATTCAAGGTATCAGACTTCGAGATGCCATGGTACTCCCGAAGTATAGTGATATAATGTATCTATTCATACTTTAATTTCAATTATAAATTTTCCTGCATATTTTGTGCAATTTTATTTTAATAGAATAAATTACAGTTTCAATATTATAGAAATTTTAATTAATAAAGACAAAAAAATAGGATTATAATAATGAAGTGACGTCACTTAATAATTTGGTTAATTGTTGAAGACTTTAACTATCAATAATAATCATCAGTATGTAATTATTTTAACAATTTCAAAACTTAATTTAAATGTACTTCATAATTATGTTGGGTACATCACATGTAATTTGTATTTAAAAAAGATTAATATTGAAAAGTAAAGGAACTCTTATTTTATTAGAGAGACCAGTTAAAAATTTAATAAAAAAATATTTTTTTATATACTCAATGGGAAAGTTGATAGATTTATTCTTTTAGACAGCATTTCAAAAAATAATTAAATATTTTTAACAATGTTAAAATTTGTGCGAATATGAAAGCAATTTTTATAAATCACAGGCT